ACCAGCGGATTTCTTGTACCCCACTTCGGCTTTCTTTTTTCATTGTAATGTATAAAATAAAGTGCAAAACTGCCATTTTCTGGAGCATTTTTCTCGATCGGTTGACGCTTTGCTTCCCGGTGAGTGTCGTCGGTTCGGCTCAAATACATTCATATGAATTCTGACATATTTGGATATTTCTTCTCCTTCTCCTCCCCTGGGGAAATGCTTATTGATTTTAGAGAGAGGGGAACGGAGGGAGGGAGAGAAATAGGGGGAGCATCGATGTGGGAGAGAAACATCAGTCAGTTGCCGGCACGTGCCCAGGTTAGGGGACTGACCTGCAACCTAGGCACGTGCCCTGACTGGGAATCAAACCCACTCCCCTTTGGTTCACTGGACAACGCTCCAACCAACTGAGCCACACCAGCCAGGGCTGGACGTTTCTTGCATTGACTCTCATGAGGTAATGACTCTCTCATTTTAGAGACGGGTGAAGTGAGGTACTGAAGTTGTCCCAGCTAGTGAGTCTCAATAAGTCCTTCCATTTCCCGAAGAGATGGGAGAAAGGGTAGTGGCCAGAAGCATGACATTTAGAAGCTCACTAATACAATTTTTTTTTTAAAAAAAGGAGATATATGTAGGGAGTAAAAGTCAAAAAACGTCTGTGGAAACAGCCCCAAATTTGGAGTAGGGGTTACCTTTGAGGAGGGAGAGGCACTCGGTCCGGGGCGGCAGTGGGGGTCTATAGCTTTCATGCTGTAGAGCTGGAGTCAGCATATGGGTGTGTGTAGTGTGTGTGTGTGTGTGTGTGTGTGCACGCGTGTGTGTTATGGAGTAAAGCATGTAAGGTTAGATTTACCATTTTTAAAGGGTACAATTCGGTGGCATTAAGTATACTCGTATTGTTGGGTAACTATACCCACTATCTAGTTGCAGAAATTTTTCATCTCCCGGAAGCAGTCACTGGCCATTCGCGCCCCGCCCAGCCCCCCCTACGGGTTTGCCGGCTGTGGGGGTCGTTTCCGATCAGTGCGCCCAAAGCCGTGGGGTCTTTTCCGGCTGGCTTCTCACTTAGCACAACGTTGTAGAGATTCATCCACGCTTGCATCGTGTGTCAGCAATTCATTCCTTTTTTATTAGCTGTACAGCATTCCATTGTTTGGACGTACTGCATCTTATCTATTCGTTGCCTGGCGGACAGCTGGGTCGTTTCTACCCTTTGGCCATGGTGAATAGTTCTCTTGTGACATCCGTGCTTACGTTTTTTGTTTGGAAGGCTGTTTGCAGTTCGTTTGATGATATGCCTAGAAGGTGCGCGTGCTATTTTATCATCCAAATTTTAAAGGCTTTTTTTTTTTCTTTTTTGGAAACAAATTCAGGAATGGAGGTGATGGGAAAGAAGGTGTCAGGCAGAGAGAACGGCACGGTGTGCGTGTGTTGGGGGAGCCCCGGGGCCTCGGGTTGGGGCCGCAGAGGCGGCCGGTGTGGCAGAGAGGCCGGCGCTGAGGAGCGACTGTGTCCGGCCTCCTGGTCCAGGCTGAATGCTGGACGCATTCCTGGGGCACTGAGAAGCCATTGAAAAGGTCTGAAGCAGGAGAGTCACATGATCCGATTAGCGTTCGAGAGAAATTCCTGTGGGACCCACGTGGAAGCCTGGCCGGATGCAGGGGAGACCGAAGCGGGAGCAGAGAGGAGGCGGGGCGCGCGGCCAGGTGAGAGAGGCCAGCCTGGGCTGGGAACGGGCTCCGGCAGGGGGCGGGACCTAGCGCTGATTGGCTCAGACCTGCACGGCCGGCTGCCAGTCCCGCCGCAGGTGCCTCCTCATTGGCTCTCCTGCTTGCCGGGCAGTTCCACCGCGCAGAGATCACTTCGCGTCACTCTCGCCTGGATACCCTCCCTGGGCTCCCAGTCTTCCCCCGGCGCGCTCCTCGCCCCCTGCCTGGAAGGCTGCGTGCGCGGCTGGCCCCTGGGGCCTGCCTCACCTGCTGCGTCTCTTTCTGCTTCACCGGCTTCAGCCACACCGCCCCCGACAAACTTTCCGGACTCTGGGCCTTTGCATGGGCCGTCCCCCCTGCCCGGAATGCCCTTCTCCTGTATTTCCCTTATTCCCATCTGGCTAAAATCTCCTCCCTGTCACCGTCTAGTCCGTACACTGTTTGTATTTTCAACACTGCACTTACGTCCAACAAGCATTAGGCTACTTGTCACTACCCACTAATTGCCTATCTCCCCTCCTACTGGAGTATGAACTCCTGGGGGGCGGGGATGTTGCTGTGCCTCCTGACGCCATAGCCTCTTCATGACAACCCTGGTCCTCTGCTCAACTGTCCAGGTTAAGAGGGTCTCTGAATGGGCGGGGCCTGTCCCAGGGGCGGAGCCTGTATCTAAGGGTCCTGGCTTTATTTACCCAAGGTAGATGGGCTTTTTGTTTTTGTTTTTGTATTTTTTTTAACCCCAAGGGGAATGAGTTGGGCTCCTGGTTCCTGGGTGTTGGTGGCAGAGTGGAGAGGACCCAGACACTTGACTTGGGTCCTTTTCAAATGGGCAATCGTAGATCTCCAGGCCATAACATCTTCCTTGAAGGCCAACTTGGTACTTGTTTTCTCTCCCCCCATATATAACCCCTCCTTTAAAATGTTTTTCCTTGTGAAATATATATGCATAAGTTAAAAAGGTACTGTACAAACACACAATTTAACAAATAATTATAAAAGTGTCACCAGGTTAAGAAATTCAATGTCAGCAGTTACTCCAGAGCTCATAGAAGGTTCTGGCATGTCCCACTCCCAGCTTAACCTGTGCAACCCCACTATACTGAGTTTTGTGGGGGGGGAAATGTTTTCCTTGCTTTCCTGAATGGTTCGGTACCCACAAAGCATCCTAAACAATACTACGGTTTAGACTTGCTCGCTTTTGAATGTTATAGAAATGTACCTGGCTTCTTGTGTCCAGCTTTTGTGTGACTTCCATTTTTGCAATTATGTGTATCTGTACTCATTCAATACACCACCGTTTATATACCCGCTGTATTGTTGATGAATCTCTTAGTCCGTTTGGGCAGCTGTAACAAAATGCTACCAACTGGGTGGCTTGTCGACCACAGGCATGTATGGCTCACAGTCCTGGAGGCTGGAAGTCCAGGGTCAAGGCTCCACCAAGGTCCCGTTCTGGTGAAGGTCCCCTTCCTGGTGCATGGCTGGTGCCTTGCTGTGTCCTCCCGCAGGGGGAGGGGCGAGGGCCCTCCCTGGAGCCGCTTCTATAGGGGCATAAATCCCATTCATAGGAGCTCCACTCTCCTGACCTGAGCGACTCCCAGAGCCCCCACCTCCAAGTATCATCATGGAGGCATTAGGGTTTCAACTGACGATTTGGGGGGAAGCGAACATCCCGACCCCAGCAAGGGGCGTGGCAGGTCCAAACTCAGGGCTGTGCATTTCGCTGCTGTGGAAGTTGTGAGCTGTGTCTCCGGAGGGGAGGGCGGGGGAACACGAGTTTCTCTAGAGCCTGCGCCCAGCAGTGGGATTACTGCCTCACAGGCTGTACACACCTTCAGCCTGATTCGGTCGTGCCAACCTCCCAGGCCTCTCAGATCTGAGGAGCTCACGATGGAACTTTTTTTTTTTAAAGATTTTATTGATTTATTTTTAGAGAGAGGGGGAGAGAGGGACAGAGGGAGAGAAACATCGATGTGAGAAAGAAACATCAGTCGGTTGCCTCTCACATGTACCCCGATGGGGGACCAAACCAGAAACCTAGTTATGTGCCAGGACCGGGAATTGAACCCACGACCTTTCACTTTGGAAGGTGACACCCAACCAACTGAGCCACACGATCAGGGCAAGATGGAACCCTTGATCCCCATTGCCCCTCCCCAAGCTTGTTCTCTGGTTTTCTGGTCTTATTACACCCATCACCCAACCAGTTTCTCCTGATTCCTCCCTTTCCAGCACACACACCTGCACACGCGCACACACACGTTCTACCTCTAGAATTCACCTTGAATTCACCCATTTGTCTCTGTCGCTCTGGTGCTGACCCCACACCTCTCCTGGTGGACCGAAGTGGTCTGCTGCTTCTACTCCGCACGCCCCTCAAGTTCCTCCTTCACTCAGCAGCCAGAGGGATCTGGGTAAAGTCACACTTAGCATCTCGCTCGCCCGGGAAACACACTCATAGGCTTACTTAGGCCCTGCGTGACCTGACCCCAGCTTACCTCCCCGTCTGTCTCACCCCTCCCTCCTCGAGGCTCATACCCCTCCCGGGGCCCAACCAGGATCCCCCTGGCCTCTCCCTCCTCGCCACCTCCAGGGGAAGCCTATCCACGCCATCCCGCCTACGGTGGCAGAGTCCAGCCACTCAATTCCCTGACGCCCTACCTCATTTCCTCCGCAGCACCCCCAACCCTCTGAAATTGCCTCCTTCGCTTATTACTCTTTTCTGCATCCCCTCGGCCCCACACCAGACTTTCAGCAACTCCACAAGAGGATTTGTTCGCCGCTGGGTCACCAGTGGCATTACAGTGCCTGGCAGGCGGTGAGCACTCGTACAAGAACATAGTCTGACGCCCAGGAGGCAACTTGAAGGCCCGCCTGTCCTCAGACCGGTGGATCCCAGTCTGGGGTTGAGGTACCTCTAAGGAACTAACCCAGTGACCCAGGAAGCAGAGTCTAAAGTAGGAACTTGTCTGAAAGTTGACAGTTTGGTTTTCTTGGGAGGACATGTCCTATAGGATTGATGGTTTTGAAAGGACCTGTCTGGTTCTTGGTGGAGGGGGCATGTCCATCCGTGAAGGTGGATCTTGTGTTTGAAGGACAGGGCTCCTTTCGGATGACACTTAAACCATCTTGGTTTTTGAAGGGCGTGCACCATCTCAGGGACTCCAAGCTCTCCGGAGGGGTGGAGGACGGCTCTGTCTCTATTTAGGGGGCCTGTCCCAAGGCAGGGAGGGAGAAATCTGTCCCCCCCCTCCCGCCGCAGCCAAAGTTCAGACAATGAGGCAGCATTGACTGACAGGACGAGGTTTATTGGGGTCCTGGAGACATTGGGGACTGGGAAGGGAGGGTGAGGTCGAGGCTCATGGGGAGGACCCCCTGGCCAACCCTCCTTTCCCTTGGTGTTGGGAGGGACACAGAGACAGACAGACTGACAGGAATGGAAAGACCGACAGGTTCTACAGCAGAGCAGGAGGGAGACTCCAGGGCCCACCAGCTCCCACTCAGGTGGGGCCACAGGGCGGGGAAGGCGCGGTGTGTCTGCCGGTCCACCGCAAGGAGGGTGTGGGGCAGGCCACCGCCGGCCCAGCCTTTTCCACTGGGCAGGAGGGTGTGTGTCCGGGTCAGTCCATCCTACTGGGCAGGGGGTTTCCAACCAGCCTATTCTAGTGCTTGGGGACGGGGAGGTCGATAGGGTTGATCCATTCCGCAGTAGGGGAGGGAGGCCGACTTGGGGAGTGGGTTGAGGGCGGGGGGCTCTACCCTGGTCCCCTCTCAGCATCGGGAATGAGGTGGGGGAAAGGCAGATTCCGGCTCTATCCGTTACCTAAGGGCACCAGTGACTCTGGTGGGTCGCATTTGGAGGGGACCCGGGGAAATTTAGGGACATGGCCGCCCCACATTCTCCAGGTCAAGGTCCTTGGGAATGATGGCTCTCAGGGAGATGCAGACTCCCCTTGGGGGAGGGCGCCCGTCTTTCACGAGGGCCCTGAATGTGAGAAGTACCTGTGGAGACCATGTCTCGTCCCTAGGTCCCCCAGCCTAGGGGCCCGTTGATTAGAGGGCGCCCGGCACAGATTCCAGGGAGGCCTCAAGCTCAGGAGTCTTCATAGATCCGGGACCCCCAGCTGAGGAGTCGCTCGGTGTATTCGCTGTCCCCCAGCTCAGGGGCCAATGTAGGTTTCTGGTGGCCCCACCTCTCCAGCCAGGGTCCCCTCAACTCAGGGTCTGAGCCTGGATTTGGGCTGTCCCCTGGGGGCTCTGAGTCCCATCTCTCCAGCCTCAGGGTCCCTCATCTCAGGGCCCGCGTGTGGATTTTGGCGGTTCCCCCGGCGCCGTGACCATGAGTCCAGCCCCGGGCCGGGTGGCCGCACGGTCAGTCCATGCCCCGGTGCAGCTTCAGGTGCCTGGAGAGGTTGCTGAGCGTGATGAAGCCCTTGCCACAGATGTGGCAGGGGAAGGGCCGCTCGGTGCCGTGCAGCAGCCGGTGGCGCTTGAGGTAGCACTCGTGGCGGAAGAACTTGCCGCACTCGAGGCACGGGAAGGGCTTCTCGCCCGTGTGCACCAGCACGTGCCTCTCCAGGTCCCGCGGGGAGCGGAACAGCTTCTCGCACTCGGAGCAGCCAAAGATCTTCTTGCCGCGGCCCGAGCTCGACGCGGGCTCCCCGGATGCGGGCTCCCCCTCGGGGGCTGCTGTGGACGCCTCCGCCCCGCCACCCTCCCCGTGGCTGGCTCGCCTGTGCTCCTCCAGAGCTGCCAGGGCCGCGTACAGCGCCCCACAGTGGCCGCAGCCGTAGGTGGCCGGCCCCGAGTGCGCCTCCAGGTGGCTGGCCAGCGCCGCCGCCGAAGCGAAGAAGGTCCCGCAGTCGCACTGGTACAGAGTGTCTTCCGATGGCTCCGCTGCGGCCGCAGGCGCAGGGGCCTCCCCGCCGCCCTCGGGGAGCAATCCTCCCAGCTCGGGAACACCGCCCCCAACGCGGCCCAGGAGCAGCCCGCCGTCCCAGGCCGGCCTGGCGTCACCCGCCTCCGCAGCACCACCCTCTCCCGGGGTCTCAGGCCCAGCACTTGCCCCCGCGGCCCAGGCCTGCGCTGGGGGTGCGCCCGGGCCCTGCAGGTCGTGGGTCAGCTTGTGCCGCTCCAGCAGCGCGGGGGCATTGAAGTCGCGCTCGCAGCGCGGGCACTTAAAGGGCTTTACATCAGTGTGCGCGGCCCAGTGGGCCGCCAGCTCGCGGCCATGGTCGAAGCGCCGAGCGCAGGCACCACATGCGAATGGGGGCAGCGAGGCTGCTGCAGCAGCAGCGGCCTCCGCCAGCCCCCAGCTGCCCGGGCCCGCCCCCTCCGGGCCCTCTCCACTGCCAGCACCTGCGCCCCCACACACCGAGCAGGGCCCCACGTTGCAGCAGACAGAGCAGGGCGCGCTCAGGGCTGGCAGGCCAGGGCCGGGCTGCAGAGGGGACGGGAGAACGCCGCGGTGCTGGCGCTTGAGGTGGCGGCCCAGGCTGGAGCGCGAGGAAAAGCGGAGCTCGCAGACCAGGCAGCAGTAGGGCTTCTCACCAGTGTGGACGACCTGGAAGGCGGGAGAGCAGAGCATCAGGGCCGAGGGCCTAGCCCGCAGGGCAGATTCCTGGACTCTCAGAGGGAGGTGGCCCAAGCCCCCTGTCACGTCTACAAGACCATGATCTAGCCTCCACGGTTCCTTCTCCTTCTATGCTTTGGGCCACGCTGGCAGGCTTAGTCCCTACAGCCTCAGGACCTTTGCACGTGCTGTTCCCGAGGCCGGGAACCCTTCCTCCCATTGCTCCTGACTAACTCAAGTCCAACAAGCCCACCGGGGAGACTGGGGCTTCCTGGGAGAGTGGCGAAGTACTGAGGATCTGAGCAGTGACCGGCCTGGGTTCAAATCCCAGCGCTGCCTTCCACTTTCTGTGAAACTTGGACAACTAATGGCCTTTCAACAGACTTCTCCATGTCCTACTTATATCCTCTAAACCAGTGGATGTTGGGGGGAAGGGAGAGGGGCTTTTGTGATCGCCTGGGGTAGGAGGTGGGTCTTCCTGCAAATGCCGTGGGACCTTTCAGAGAAGGAACATCCGGTAGAACTTTCTCCAGTGATGGAGACGTCCCACTTCTGTGCTTTCCAAATGGTGACCACTAGCCCCGTGTGGCTGCTGAGCCCCTGAAACGTGGCTGGGTGGCTGAGCGAGACCGTGCCTTACACGGGTCTCTACTGATGTTGGCCCTGGTGGTCGGGGTGGCCTGGAATAACAGACACAGGTTGTGAGTGTGGAGTTCCATGGATGGCGGTCTGCTTGGAGGGCTGCGGGCGGGGCTCGGAGGCTGGGCGAGCGCGCGTGGCGCTAGCATGGCCATGCCTGACGGGGCGTGGGACCCGAAGCAGCGAGATGGCGGCCCCGGGAGCACCGTGCCCGACCCCGTCCCCGACCCGGACCGCGTCAGAGCTCTCCTGTGTTAGCCTCAGAATCCGGTAACCCGGTCCTCATGTCTCAGGTCGACATTTGTTAACCTGGCTGTTCAGGAACTGTCGCCCCGACTAGACTCCATGGCTCTGGGAGGCCATGGAGGCAGTAGACTGCGTGTTTTGTCTCTCTCCTTCCCCCCAAGGACTCTGTAGACCTTAGATACTCATTAAATTCTCAGTTGAATTAAAACCTACTACTGGCCAGGGGTGAGACCTCAGAGGGCTGCGAATGCCACATCGATGTAAGGATCAGGGGTTCCAATGGGGGAGGGGAGGGTTCCAGGTCACAGAGGCTGGATATGATGGGGAGAGACAGGAAGTAGGAAGACCACTTAGAAAGCTGGGGCCAACATCCAGGACGTGAGGTCCTGACCCAACGCAGATACCATGAGACAGAGGAGGGGACAAGTGTGAAAGGCCAGTGATGCGTCTGGTTTTACTTAACCTTGTAGCAGAACGTCTGACCCCTGGAATACAATCCCACTCCTCACCACAGCCAGGACGGTGCACGTGGCTCAGCCCCTGCCCACCCTCTAAGTCGCCTCCTTCTGCTCTGCCCCAGGCTCACCACCCCACCGCAAGCCACACGGCTTCCCACCCCTTTCTTGTACATACCAAGCCCCTCCCATCCCTGGGCCTTTGCACTTGCTATTCCCTCTGCCTGAAATGCTGTTCCCGCGGTGGATGCCTGCTCACACTTCAGGTCTCAGCTCAGATATCACCCTGCCCTGCCCTTCCCCACCCTGGCTCACCCCACTTTACTCCTGCACGTTGGCTTGTTGTTAATTTCCTTCCTAACACGTCTCCCTTTCCAGAGCATTCTTGCCTGCATATTTGCTTTTTTGCTGATTGTCTACTTTCAGTGGAATGTAAGTTCTCCAGACGCTTGGACTTTATTGATTTCCCTTTGGCGACCTCAGTGCTGAGAGCAAGGAAAGCTCTCAATAGGTCATCTCTGAATAAAAGAATTAAGTACATACGTGGTAAATGTTTTTAAAACTGGTAAGGGAACAAGTAACACAAAACTGCAGGTGCTGGTGTGCGGGGGAAGGGGGCGTGTGCACAGGGGGATGGGAGGGGGGAGGAGCCTATGGGTGGGGTGCATGTACTATGATCCCTAAAGTAGGTGGTGGTTGAAAGAGAAACCCCTGGTGTTTCGACTGCTCAGGGCACTTTGGCCGGGAGGGAGGAAGAGGACGGTTTTCTCTGCTGCCCAGAGTGGGGCTGGGGCTCCAAGGGCGCATCCAGCCCAGGGACGCAGCTGCGTGGGCCTGCAGGACTCACCTGGTGGTGCAACAGGCCAGTGGAGTCTCGGAACCCCTTGGGGCAGGCGGAGCAGCGGTAGGGCCGCTCACCCGTGTGCGAGCGCAGGTGGTTGGCCAGGTTGAAGCTGTGCTTGAAGCCCTTGCCACAGCGCGGACACGCGTGGGGCTTGAGAGCAGTGTGACGCGCGAAGTGGCGCCGCAGGTCCGAGCGGTAGCGGAAGCTCTTGCCACACTCACTGCAGTGAAACGGGACGCGGGGGGCGGCGGCGGGCGGTGCTGGGGCCGGGGCCGGGGTCGGGGCCGGGGCAGGGACAGGGGGCGCTGGCAGTGGGGCGTCATCCATGGTGGCGTGGCGTGAGGGCAGTTGTGGGTGGGGGCTCTCTGGAGCAGGGGAGACAGTGAGGGAAGGTGAGGGAGTCACCTCCCCTTAGTCCTCCCCCATCAGGCTCTTGGGACTCATAGACCCACCACGTATCCCCCGGGAGCTCTGACCGCTACTCTTTAAAGCCACTCCCCAGGACCGCGCCCACTGTCTTTAAGTCCATTCCCCTACAAACCCTTCTCCCACTTATCTGCCAATCTGCCTACTCACACCCAGTCGCCTCTACCCCAGTGTTTTGTCTCACCCCCTTTGTGAACAGACTCCTGCTCCTCTAAGCCCCGCCTACTCTTTCCAAAGTCCCTCAACACTGTTCCAGGAGCCTCTTTTATTCCTTGACAAGCCCCTCCAACCCCACTGGAAGCTGCTCCCACGCTTCTTTGAAGATGAAAGTCCTGGAACCTCGGATAAAACCAACTGAAACTCTTCACTTGCAAAATACGGATAATAGAAGGACCTAGCTCACCTGTGGCGGTTACTACTATCTACTAAGTTCCTCTGAGTGCTCTCTTTAAGTCCTACGTCTCTTCTCCACTAAGATCTGCCTCCAAACCCCACTTAATTTGTCTTCAAACCCAGCCTTGAAGTCAGCCCTGTCCTTTCCAAGACCCAGTCTACCCAACGCTTCCCACATTCTCAGCCCTTCGGAGTCTCGTTCCAGGCCTCCGAAGTCATTTCACCTGCATTATAAAGAGTTGCTATTTCCACGAAGACTTCCCAGATCACACGCCCAAACCCCACCCCTCACTATGCCCACCAGTTTCTGTAAGCCACACCCCGGTACAAACTCCACCCCTTCTAGTCTAAGCTCCTCCCACCTTCACGCTGAGCCCCATTTCCCCACTCAGCACTGATTAGGACCCTTCAAACTCGGGTCCTTCTACCGTTTTGAGCCACGCCCCTTTATCAACCCCACCCCTTTGCTTAAGCTCCTCCCATTTCCACCCGTGGGCCTGCTCCCTCCACCAGGCCCCGCCCATCTTCACCATAAACCACACCCACACGCTCCTCCCAATCACTGCTCCGCCCCCAGCCTCCGCTAGGCCCCGCCTCCTCCCCACCCAGTAGCCTGCGGGGCTGGCCCCCCTCCCCTAGCCGCTCGAGGACCCAGGCGCCCAGAGCTGGCCTTTTGTGCCCCTCCCCCCCGTTCCTAAAAGGTGCGGCCCCGGGCGCCCGGGGCGGGGGCAGGCTAAGCGGGATCGCGGCCAGGCGAGTCCACCTCGCTCGTACGGCGCGGGGGTTCTGGAGCCCTGGGGCGGCCCCGGGAGGCCAGGAAAGTCAGTCGGCTTTCCTCTTTAATTACTTACACCTCCCTCTGGGCGCCGACATTTTGGGCAGCGGGGGCAGCGTCACTTCCACCCGGGGGGCCCCTCGACTTCCGCCTCGGCTACCTTTCCCCCGCACTCCCCCTTTCTCCCGCCTTCTTGGCCTCCCTCCTCCCAGTCGCCCGCCCTTCTCCCTCTTTCCCGTCTCTTTCCCAGCACTGTGAGAGAAGCCAGATCGGCGCCATCTTAGGTAAGGGCAGGAAGAGGGGCGGGGTTCAGGGTGACCCCGGCGCCATACAGACTAAGGGCACCAAGATCAGCATGCCGCCTCCTCCCAGCGGTGTCGACGCTGGCGGGTGGTAGCGCAGATGAGGGCAGATCTGAGTCCATTTTCGCAGCCTCAGGCTCCTTCTGAGTAGGATGTTAGAGTTGCACCAGGAGAAAACAAATCAAAGTCCTCCTACTGCGATAGATAGGAGGAAACAGCAGTCTCCATCTTGTCCTCAGCCCTCCAGAAGGCTTTGAAGCTTATCAGGCGCCATGTTAATTACGGGAAGGAGCAGCCATTTTCCCATTTCTCATCCTTTCGGTACCTGTGTTTGATTGGGTTTCCGACTGGGTACTTTGTGGAAGGAAAGGCATTTCTACCTGTTGGGATGTGTCGGTGGGTTACTTCCCGCTCGGGGCGAGCGAGTGCGCCGGGAGCGCAGGCGCTGATGTTAGCGGCCCTTAGGACCCGGCGCGTCCCTTTGTTCCCAGCGGGCGCAGGTCCAACTCGGGGGGTAGGGGGCGGGGCCTGCGGCGTCCGCTCCAAGGGGCGGGGCCGTCCGTCGTGCGCGCCACCGCGGGGCAGGGCCCCCTCTCCCCCGCCCCTTCCTATGCGTCGGCCCCGTAGCCCCCCGCGCGCGCACACTCTCGAGCCCTGGCGACATGCAAATGAGGTACCCGAGAGGCGGGGGTCCGGGCGGGGGAAGGGGAGCCGAGGGAGGGAAGGCCCGGGGCCGCGCGCTCCCGGAGCGCGCCCCCCAACACCTGCTCCTGCTCTCGCGCTCGCGGCGGCGTGCGCTCGCCGACCTCGCGCCCCGCGGAGCCGGCCCGGGCGCGCGCGTTCGCGCAGACCCCCTTCCTGGCGGCCCCCGCCGTCCGCGGCCCGGCGCCGCTCATTGGCCGCCGCCCCCGCAGGGCCCGCCCTACGCGCTCGGGGGCCGCCGGGCGCGCGTCTGCTAGTGTTCGGGCTGAGGGCGAGGGTCGGAACACGTCTCCGGAGGCCCCGGTTGTAGTCCAGGTTCCCCCACCGGAGTGAACCTTGCGATCCTGGAAAAGCGTTCGCCCCGCCTCTGGGCTTCCGCCTGTGTGCCTGTTCCAAGGGGGCGAAGCGGCCCCTGCGGCCCCTGCGGCCCCTGCGCCTAACTGCACCTATGCTAGCTCCCCCTCCCCTTTGTGACACCCCAGTCCCTTGGTCGGAACTCTGATGATGGCGGCGGTGGTGGTAGTTTATTGAGTCCTTAGTATGAGCCAGCGGACAACTCTGGCATTTCCATTTCGCAGAGCTGTGTTCAAACACAGGACCAACGGACCCAATGATGTCCGCTTGTCCCCCTGAGTTCCTTCTGGTTCCCTGGGCTATTGTGTCTGCGTGAGATCTGTTTCGAATCTTAACCCTGCTACTTCCTGGCAGAGGGAGCTTGGGCAACTGACTTGGCTTTTCTGTGCCTCGGTTTTCCCATTTGGAAAATGAGGGTGACTGTGACCTTTCTCAGAGGGCTAATGTTTCCTAAGTGCTCTGTGTACTGAGCATTTTATGTATATGATCCTCCTGGCATGTTCCTGCAAGTAGGTGGGGCTATTCGTCCTATTTGCAGAAAGCTTAACTCAAGCTTAGAAAAATGAGCACCTTGCCCAAAGCCACATAGAGAGTAAGTAACAGACTCAGGAATCGAACCCAGAACATCTGACTCCGGAGACCAGACTCCAATATATTTCCTCACCCACGACTCAGGATCAGACATCACCTGGGACCAGTCCCTTTCTTCTTCCGGGCCTGGACCCCACGCCCTCCCGCTTCTGCCAATCAAGAGTGGACAAAAACATGTATGAGGGCTCTATGGCTCTGGGGTCTGATGGACTGTCTGCTTTAAAGATCACGATACTGGCCTGTACCCTCGGTTGGACTCCCTTCAAGGTTTTTATTTTGGCTCATATTGACCTTGAACTTCGAGATCCATGGCAGGGGTTAGGGAGGCCTGGAGAACACTTGTGAGGCTCAGGGCAGTGCCTGTTTACCAGCTGGCACGGAATTATCTTGCTCGTTTACTTACGAGCGTCGTTATAATGTGCATCCAGGCGAATGTCAGCCATGCCCAGCTCGTGAGACTCAGACAAAGGAATGGGTGAGGTCTTGGGGGACAGTGGGTGCTCCAGACCCTCCCTGCGCTGACAGCTGCTCTTTCTCTCCTCTTAGCCCAGCTCCGGTGCCCAAACCCAAGGTCCCCACTGCTCAATGGACACCCCTAGCCCAGACCCGTTGCCTTCATCTTTGCCCGAGGAAGAAGAGAAACCTCTGGCCCTACCTCCTTCTGTGTCCCGGGGCCGCCGAGGCGGACGTCCTGGGGGTTCCAATCAGACGCTCAAGGCCTGCCTCCCTCGCAAGCGGGGCCGCCCCCCCAAGTCAGGGCAGGAGTCCCCGCTGGCACAGGGGGTGACAGTCCCTGTGGGCAGCGACAGTGGCAGCGACCTCCTGCTGATCGATGATCAGGGTGTGCCCTATACAGTCTCTGAAGGGTCAGCAGCAGGCGGGCCTGAGGGCTCCGGCCCTAAGAAGGCCCCGCACTTCTGCCCAGTGTGCCTGCGGGCCTTCCCCTACCTCTCGGACCTGGAGCGCCATAGCATCTCGCATTCGGAGCTGAAGCCGCACGAGTGCAAGGACTGCGGCAAGACCTTCAAGCGGTCCAGCCACCTGCGGAGGCACTGCAACATCCATGCTGGTCTGCGGCCCTTCCGCTGCCCACTCTGCCCCCGCCGCTTCCGGGAGGCGGGTGAGCTGGCCCACCACCACCGCGTCCACTCTGGGGAGCGCCCCTACCAGTGCCCTATCTGCCGACTGCGCTTCACAGAGGCCAACTCGCTCCGGCGACATGCCAAACGCAAGCACCCCGAAGCCGTGGGGGCACCCGTGTGTCCCCTGGACCCAGGGTCTGAGCCACCGTGGGACGATGAGGGCATCCCGGCCACGGCAGGGGCGGAGGAAGAGGAAGAGGAGCTGGAAGGGAAAGAGCTGGCCTGACCCATACCCCCAGCCACCCCTCCCCAGGCCAGGTTTAGAGCTGGGGGTTCAGCTGGTGCTGCACCTGGGCAGGGAGGCTGGGACACCCTCAGGTCTGGTGGTCTTCCTGTTATGGGAGGGGGTGGCGGGTAAGGACCTAAACTGCTGGGCCCTGTCGCCTTCTGCCACCCTCTCCTGGACTGACAGGCCCTCGGAGGCAAAGAGCCACGGAAATAAATCACTGCCTTCTGGCTTCCTGTGTGTGCTCAGTGACGGTACCAGGGCTGGCGCTCCTCTGCTCTTTTCAAATGCCCTTCGGCCGCTATACCACCCTTGGGAGTGCATGGAATTTGGGAGGACCCATGGCATGTGCCTCATTAACTTGGCGCTAAAGAAGTGGCTTGGGGGAAGTGTTTGTCCCCTCTCGCACATCTGGAAGACCCCAAAGCACTCCCCTAAATATCCACTCTAACCTAAGTAAAACATTGAACCTTCTGTGTAGATGTGACTCGACCCCCTCCCCCATATCCCGCCAGATTCCTAGAAATTCTGCAGCCACCGCTTTGCCCCATCTCTTTGTCCTGACACTGGTAGGAAGGAAAAACTGAATTGATAGTCCCTGGCAGAATTGACAGCTTTGCCAGGGCTTAGGTAGGTAAGAGGTGTGGTCTGGAGGGATGGGCTAAGGGAGTAGGAGGTGGGGCTGGAACTGAGCCAGGAGGCTTATTGGGCAAATAGGTGAAAACTATGGGCGGGGCTTAGAGAAGGGCTGTATGAACTGTGGTGGCGCTTATATTGTCCTAGGGGCTGGCGGCAGAAAATGAGAGCGATTTAGAGGAGTGGATACTGTTTATCTGAGGGAAAGGGCTTCAAGGGGAAACTAGGAGAGCAAGGTGTCAGGAGGGGTGGGAGTGAACTGTTAAGATGCTAAGGAGTGGGCATGACTTATTCAGGCCAAGGGGAGAGAAGGGGTACCTAAGAGAGAAATCCCTGAGAGAGGAGGAGCTTAGCAGGATGGGCGAAGTAGAACTGGGCTTTGCTGCTTAGGATGGGGCTGAGTCAGGGGCGAGGTTTGCAGAGATACAGGAAAGGGACAGTGTCAAGTGTGCGGTAAAGCTGTGGTCCTGACTTCAACCTGCATTAGAATCACCTGAAGAGTTTTTTTTTTTTTAAACATAGCTGGCATATTCGGTCTGCAACAGTGAGTGATCCGGTGTTTCTATACACTACAGAATAACCACCATCTAGTTAACATCTGTCACCATACAAAGTTTTTACGATATTATTGACTATATTCCCTATGTTTTACGTGACGTCACTGTGACTTACGTATTTTGTGACTGGAAGTTTGTACCCCCAGGGTTTCTGATTCGGAACGTCTGGATCAGGGGACCTGAGAATTTCCATTTCTATAACAATTTCCAGGGTGGTGCTGCTGCTGCTGGTGTTTGGACCATAGTGTAAGAACCACTGCTTTAAGGGAATGCTTTAGAAAGTTTAGAGGTTCCAGGCACAAGATCACATTAAAATTGAGAGAGGAGGAGCTTAAAAGCTGGGGGCGGGGCTTAACTAAGGGGCGTGGCCTGGTGTAAGTGGGCCGAAAGGCGGGGTCTAGAGGAAAGAGGCGTGGTTGAGGGCAGGGCTTATGTGGGAGCGATGGGGTTCTAGAGAATGAGGTCTTGCAGGTGGGAATGAACAGGAGAAAATTCGTGGGCCCAACGCGAGGGGGTCGTATTTTGAGACGTTGGCCAGGGTTTATGATAATTAAGCTCAAATAAAAATTCAGGCAGGGGGCGGGGCTTAAGCGTGAGATTTGTGCGAGGGGCGTGATTTTACTGGATGACCGGAGCGTGTGGGCGGTGCCCTAAGAAGCGGGCGCTCAGAGCGCAGGCGCACTTGCGCACCTCGCCCGCCGGAAGTCGCCTAGGCTTTCCCCGCCTGCTCCCGCGAGCCAGCGCGCAGGCGCACTTCCCTCTCCCGGTCGCCGCCGCCGCCGCCGCCGCCGCCGCCGCCTTTTTCCGCTTCTCCACGCCGGCGCCTCGGAGACGAGCGCAACTTCCGCTTCCGGGCGGGCGGGCAAGCGGGCGGTGCGGGGCGGCCGGGGAGGGGGAGGGGGCGGCACTTCCGGTCAGGCCCTCGGGTCTCCCCTGAGCGGCGGCGCCTCCTCCGCCTCCTCGGCCTCCTCCCGGCGGAGACCCCGGCGCCGGTGAGTGACGGGGCGCGTGGCCCGGGGGCCCGGGGGCTGCGAGGGCGGGGGGTCCCGCCCAGGCCCGCTCTGCTGCTCAGAACGTCCTCATCAGTGCTGCTCGCGTCGGGCCCTCGCCAGGGGCCCCCATCACTGCTCCCCCGTAAGAGCACCCAGATATGTGCTCCATTAACGCCCCCACGCAGGACGGCGGCCAAAGCGCTCTCTCTCGCGGAGCTCTCCTAAACTGCCGCTTTCTGGTAGGCTCTCTTCTACGTAGCCCCCCGTTATTGCTTCCTCCAGAACAGCCCCCCAAATGCCACCAACACTGCCCTCCCCCACGCAGAGCAGCTACCCCCGAACCCTCCTTTAGTAGCCCCTATAGGTTGCCACCAAACAGTGTTGCATTTATGCTTTAGAGCGTAATGCCCCCCATTACCTCTGTCCACACACACATAGCCCCCCAAAACTCCTAACCACTCCCTCCCCAACGCCCCCCTTCCTGGGTTTAAAAATACTTTCACTTCTGGTCAGCAGCGAAGAATGCCCTTTTTTCCCTTCTGCATCGCCCTCCTCCCCAGTAATTACCGTTGAAAATACACCCTTTCCACCCCCCAGACCCTCCCCGCGTAGAACAGCTCCCTCTAGAGGTGCGTTCTCACACCCACATCCTTTCCCTCTTCAGGTAGGAATAGCTGGCTGCTCGTGGAGCCCCGGCTGGGTCAGGGGCTACACCTCTTCGGGTCAGGAACTGTCCTCCGTCCTCGTCCCACAGGGCAGCGCCCCTCCCTGAGGCCTCGCTCTCAGAATGCGCCTCTTCTGGGCACTAGGGACTCGTTCTAACCTGCCCGTCCTCACTCACCTCTCACTGCATCCTCCTGGACTCCCTGCACAAGACCCCTAGTTTCACTAGGGCAGGCGCATTTTCTGCCCAGGCATCCTTTCTTTCGATCTTCATAAAGCGGACACGCACTCTTCTAGGTCCAGGACATAGAGCTGTGAGGGAGAGAGTTGCACACAGTCTTTCTTTTTGTGGGTTCAGCCGTGTAGTTGAGCAGACAGATCAAAAACACGTAATCAAATGTGATCAGTGCTGTTTTCCAAGAGCCTAGTAGCTACTTCAGAGGTGCAGCCTGAGTTAGCAGAGCTTACTTGGCTGTGCAGAGATCTGGGCAGACCGGTGCAGCCCGAGGGCAGAGCAGTGCAAATGCCCTGAAGTGGGCATGGGCATGGGCGTGGGCGTGGCGAGTGGAGGAGACCCCTGGGAGGCCTCTGAGGTTGGAGCCAGGGGAGCAAAGGTGTGATCTTAGAGGGCTCTCGAGGCTGGAGCATTGCGGTCAGTTATCTGGCCTTTGTCCGCTCTACCAAGCCCAGAATGCACTTCCCGTTTGTTCATTCGTTTGTTCAACAGCTGTTTAATGAGCGCCTACTACGCACTGGGCATGCAACAGAGAACAAAGCAGACAGCACCCCTTGTCCTTGTGGAGTGCATGTGCTAGTTCATGGGTCAGACAGTTAAGAAAGAAAATACATGTGTGTGAAGAAAATACAGCCGGATAAGGGTATAATGTTACAAAGACTGCTGTGTTAGAGGGTGGCAGGAAGCCTCTTTCAAGAATTTCCTGTTGTCTCTTGTCTTTCCAAAAAGCCATGCCCCGAAAAGTTACCCCCTCCTCCGGGACAGTTGTGGCCCACCCCCGGGGCTGCTCTTAGTGCCCCTCCCCTGACCTTTTCCTCAGTTTCCCCATTTATAAGATGGGACCAATAATGGCACGGGGCTGTTGGGGTGTATCAAGGCGATGGTTTGTGTCAATCTGGTCAAACAATAAACATGAGCTGTTATGAAATGGTTAAGAGGATGAACCTTGAATGCCACTGGTGTTCATATCACTGAGGGAACCATTCCCTGTTTTCCTAGCTTCATTCACACTCACTTAACAAGTATTTTTGGAGGCAGGCACTGTGCTGGGTCCTGGGGATGGAGCAGTGATCCAAACAAACAAAGATCCTGGCGTGCTCGGTGCCCAGCTTCTAGAGGGAGAGACCACCTCCAGCAAGACAGACAAGTGCTGTGTGCAGTTTATTAGGCGGTGCTGCCTGCCAGGGAGAGAGATGAAGCTGCCTGGGGCGTGCTGGAGTGTTGGTCTTGGGGACAGGTTTCAGGGGACGTGAGAGCCCTGCTGAGAAGAGGACTTTGATCAGAGCCAGGAAGGAGGTTAGGATGTGAGGCAGAACCTCTGGGCAGAAGCAACAGCCAGTGCAAAGGCCCGGGGCAGGGATGTGGTTGGTACGTTGGAGGGGCAGCCGGGAGGCCACGGGGGCTGCCCAGGTCATCAGAGGCACTTTGAGTGAGATGGGGTCACTACAAGGTTTGAGCGGAGGAGGGACGTGGTTTGGTCTAAGTGTCCCTGCCTATAAATCATCTAATGAGTCTGTTTTGAAATTTGATGGAGACGTGCCGCATAACGGACCTAGTGCAGTGCAGCGCTTGTTCGCATTCAGTAAGGGCCGGTGGCTAGTCCTGGGGAGGGGTGGCGGGGAACGGGTGAGACCACGTGGGTTTGCAGTATAAGGTGGAGCGGGGACCTTCCTTCGTTCTGAGGAAACATTGAAAGGCAGCACGGAGGGGTAGAGGGGGCACGTCGGAGCCCCACGGCCTGGCCCCGGCCCCTGGCCCTGCCGCTTGTCATGGTGTGACTTCAGAAGACTGATTGACCTCTCTGGCCCTCAGTCTCTTCCTCTGTGAAACAGTTAATAATTGTAACCACCTTCTAGGATTTAGGGAGGGTTCACTGAGTGGACACTAAAGGATGTAGACATGTGCTTAATATGTAGAAAGCACTCATTCAGTGTTACATGCTACTAGATGTTACCGTTATTGTTATTAACAGACTAGAATTTTATCACGAGGCCGCTTGATGCCGGGGAATGGCCCATAGGTCCTGGCATCAAAGGGACCTGGAATCCAATACCCGCTTTCCCCTTTACTGGCTCTGTGACCTTGGGGAAACAACCCCCGACTCCTTTCCTCAGTTTCCCCACTGACAAGATGGGACCAATAACGGCACAGGGCTGTTGGGGTGTAGCAAGGTGATGGTTCCTATCAATCCGGTCAAACAGTAAACATGAGCTGTTGGGACTGTCCTGTGGTTGCCGTGGTCCTCCTGCCCCCGGAGACCGTTCCCCGTCACGCTCTGCAGGAAACCCTCCTGTGGCCATCTGCCCTTAGAGAGACGCCAGTGGAAGGCTTGGGTCCCCTGAGAGT